AAAAAAAAAAAAAAAAAAAAAAAAAACGAGAGAGAAAGAGAATCCCAGAATCCTTCCCATGGCCACCAGGTCCCACAGGACCTGATCACTGTGGACTAGAGGTTTAAAGCAACAAAATACCAAAGAATATTATGAATATTTGTATGTGAGCAAAAAAGATGAGTGGAGGTAGCTGTCTATAGTACAGATGAATGAAATGTGTAAAAAGGAGCTGGGAGTCCCCATCAATCCCCAGTAGCTGAGGCCAGGCCCTTTCTGAGGTGCTACTATTTGTGAGGCGCTCCCATTTAACTTAGCATGGGTGGCTTCTACAGGTGGACCAGTGAGAGCTGATTAATCTCTGATTTACCCTGCCTCCTGACATGACCTCCCAGCTGCCTGATCTGAAATACAGGGTTATCCTTGAAGCCTCTCCTTTATTCCTGACATCCAATTAATCCTCTGCTCTTAACAATCTCCCTCCTGATCTATCTTCGTCCTCCAGGTCTCCCCATCCCTCACCAGGTCCACAGTACCTCGCACAAGTTTGGGATCCCTCTCCAGCCCCATCTCCCACCACGTGTATCAGCCCCATGCCTGGAGGTTCTCTCACTCGCCAGCCTCAGTATTGTTTCTTCAGTCAGATGCACTTCTCCCCACTCTGCTCCTCCCTCATCTCTGATCAGACACAGCCCTCTCTGGTAAGCCCTTGCTAACCTCCCTAGACTGGATTACAGCCTGTCAGATGCACTCTCAGGGCACCAATTGTCAGTATTCTTTTCTGACTTGCCTGGCGTGGTGGCGCATGTTGGTAATCCTCATACTTGGGAGACTGAGGTAGGTAGATCAGGACAAGTTCAAAGCCAGCCTGAACTGCACAGACTCTGTCTCAAACAAACAAACAAAAAGCCAGGCATGTGCATGTAATCCCAGGACTCAGGAGGCTGAGGCAGGAGGATCACTGTGAATTCAAGGCCAGTGAGACCTGAACAACAGTGAGACCCTGTCTCAAAAAAGAAAAAAAAAAGTTTGTTGATCTTGAACCATAAGTTCCTCAGTGAATCATAAGTTCTTTTTGGACAAGGTCTGTCATGTTTATTACTGTTCTCAGATCTAGGTACAAGAAGTAGCTCCAGTGAAGACACATATATACTCTTAACACTCAGGAGGCTGAGACAGGAGAATCACCATGAGTTCAAATTAAGTCTGGCATGGTAGTACATGCCTGTAATTCCAGCAATATGGGAGGCCAAGGCAGAAAGATTGTAAATTAGAGCCCACTCTGGGCTAACTCACAGACTTAGTGAGATCCTGACTCAAATAAATTAAAAAACCTGCGGAAGTAACTCAGTACAAAGGTTCTGAATTCAACCCAGGACCTTTAAAAAAAACACACACACACAGTTAATTACTTCTACACTAGCCTCAAAACTCTAAAGGAAATTACTAAAGGGAACTAATTCATTCCCTCAAACATAAAACACTGAGAGCCCACTAGGTGGAGGACATGGAGCTCAGAATCAGAAGGTCTCAGTCCTGGAGGGGACACAGGTCTTTCAAAGACCACAGTCACTCACGGACCACCTTGCACACTCTTAGGCTGTGTTTCCTAGGAACTACGTGTTCAGAGAACAAAACTACCAACTTAACAGCAAATGGAAAACAACCAGCCAAGGGCCACAATTTTACTTAGTTGGCCTTGTCACTATGCACTTCACAAATTTGGTGAAATTATGCCCACAAAGGAGGGACAGCATTCAAAGTCTCCAGTTTTCTGACACAGCAACCAACCTAGATGGAAGATTCTACAATCTCTCAGGCATACTTCCCAGTGCTAGAATGAATGTCCCTACTGTCACTGTGGAAGGAAGAGGCTGGCTGAGAGTGCAACCTTCCCCATTCATTCTCCTCACACCATAGTCAAGATGAGATAAAAGTCAAGAAGGAAGAGCACAGAAGACAAGAGGCCATGGAAATTTACCTGGTTTCCTGCCTCACTCAAGGGTTTTTCTCTGCCTGGGTTAAATCAAGGCTATAGTGAGTTTCAGAGGAGCAATGGAAAGCTGGTCTTAGATCCTAGACCTAGATATGATAGGCTCAAGGGAACATGAAATGGGAAGACATTTGGAAGACTGAGGTATGCTGTCACTCACCTATAATGCCAGCACCTAGGAGGCTGAGAGACAAAGACTGCTGCCAAGTTTGAGCCCAGCCTGTGCTGCATGGTGAGTTCAAACCAGCCTGAGCTACACAGGGAGACCCTGCCTCAAAAAAACAAAACATGGAAGACAGGAAGGGAGATTCGGAAACCTCTCCTTAGGAAAAATGCACATTTGAGTTCATTCACTCAAAAAAAATAGTCCCAAGTATACACCAGGCATGGTGTTGACTAGCAGTGAATTAAAATTGTAATCATCTCTGCTTTCACCTGCCTTGTATACTAGAGAGAAGCAAATAAATTATACTCATGCTATGTTTGATGGTGGTTATATGCTACAGAGAAAAAACGAAGGAGGGCAAGAAGCAGCAGACACAGGAAGTGGCAGTTTAGGTACATTAGGGAAGAATTCACTAAAAACTTTCCTTTTATAAACCAATACTTGAACCAAGGAGAGCAAATATACTAGGATATTGGGGGCAGGGGTTGAAGAAACAACAATGGAAAGAACAAAAAAGGCCCTAAGCAGAGCTGGAATGCTATAGAAAAGCAGGATCAAGGCAAAGGCTGAACTCTAACCTTGCTGAGAGAAGGAACTCCAGGCCCCTGGATGCACTGTCTTCTACATCCCCTCACTGCAGAGGCCTGTGGTACTGTTCTGCTCCAACACCTGAAAACTACTTAAGGTTGTCTGACCCATCTAAAACAATACCCAAGCTTGACAATCCCAAAAGCCTTAAGTTTGAGGTTCAAATAGACCTAGCTCTTTGTTTTGCGTTTTGGCTTTTTTGTAGTACTGGGGTTTGAACACATGGCTTCATGTAAATGTGGCACTTTTTCTACCAGAGCTACATCCCCAGCCCTTTTGTTCCTTGGTTTTTTAAGACAGGCTCTCACTATGCAGTTCAGGAAGCCTTGAACTCACTATGTGGCCCAGATTAGCATCAAACTCGCAGCAACCCTCCTGCCTCACCCTCCTACGTGCTGGGATTTCAGGGATGCACCACTATCCCTGGCTCCCAGTATTTTTAAAATTATAGTTTGTGGGCTGGGGATATAGCTCAGCGACATAAGCGCCTGCCTTGCACCTGGCAAGCACAAGGTCTCAAATTCGATCCCTGGTACTTAAATAAATAAACAAACAAAATATAAAATTATAAGGGCCGGCCAGATAGCTCAGCAGATTAAAACAACTGCTTAGGCAGATGGAGAACTAAGGCTTGATTCTTGGCAGGCCTTGCCCCCAGGATGTGTAGATTGAGACTGGGCACAAACAAAATATAAAATTATAAGGGCCGGCCAGATAGCTCAGCAGATTAAAACAACTGCTTAGGCAGATGGAGAACTAAGGCTTGATTCTTGGCAGGCCTTGCCCCCAGGATGTGTAGATTGAGACTGGGCACACTTGGGGCGCACTTGTAATCTCAGCGCTTGGGAGGCTGAAAACAGGAGAATCACTAAGTCCGATCTGTGTTGTGAGACCCTGTAGACCCGGTACTAAATACATAAAATAAATAAATAAAATAAAACTATAGTTTGAGACAAGATCTTATTAAGTTGCACAGGCTGTACTCCAACTTGTGATCCTCCTGCCTCAGCCTGCCAAGTAGATGGAATTATAGATGTGGACCACTACACCAGCCGCTACAACCAATTTTAGATTCAGCTCTTAAACCTCCACTCCGCCTTTCACTAGATAAGATCTTACACACTAGGATTTCTTATCTATAAACGTTATGTGTTCTCCCAAAGTTCTGTATCAATAACTGAGAGTACCAAGGCCTGGCAAATAATTTATAATCAAATATTCCATTTCTTCTCTAACTCCTCTTAAAAATTAATAGTACAGAAATCCTATCCTTTCCCCCCTAAGCCCTGATGCTTGTAAGTTCTGAGGCAGAGGAAAAGCCTGGTGATTATGTAGCCCTGTCCACCTGTCATCTCTCCGTGCGTCATATATTATCCTGTGCTCAGTACTGGAAGCAGGGGAAAGCCGGCCTGAGAAGATGCTGACAGGGAAGCAGAAGCAAGTACCCCCAGGCATATAGACCTGAGCCTGTCACTGACACAGGATGATGATACCTGGTCTTCCTGCAAGCCCAGCTTGGAGAAACTTGCACAGCCAAACAACCCAAATCCCCAAAGAAGCTGACAAACTCAAGCTCAGTTAATCGCACTGTAAAAGGATGCCACTGGCTGAGTCAACAGGAGTCCCGTAAAGTGCACAAGTTCCTCCTACAGCCGACCCGACACAGCTTGGGGTGCCCTCCCTGGATACTCACATCCCCCTTGTGCAGCTCCGGCGCCGCGATCTTCACCGGCTCGGTCCTCTTCTTTGGCTTGGGAAGCCCCAGGGGGGGGCCGGCACCGCCGACAGGGGGGGGCAGGCTGAGGCCAGGGCCTCGAGGGGCCGGCAGCCCAAGGCCCATCCCCTCCCCAACTCCCGTCGCTTCAGCCGGGCTCACGCCTGGAGGCGGGGGAAATCCTCCCAGGCCGAAGGGCAGGGGCGGAGGAGGCTGGAGTCTGGGGTCTCCAGAGGGAGGAGGCAACAGCATCGGCGGGGGGAAGGCCGGGGCCAGCATCTGGGGGGGCGGGGGCAGCAAGGCCGGACCCTTGGGTGCGGGGAGGGAAGCGAACAAGCCTCCCAAGGTGGGCCCGGGCGCGGGGGCTGCTGCCTCCTCTTCCTCTGGCTCTGGCTCCCCCTCGTCTGGCTCGCTCTCATCGCTGCTAGCGTAAGCAACCAGCGACATGGCGCCTCCCGCCTTTGGGGCGCCCTTGCCGGCAGACCAGGCCTACTCAAGACCGGGGATGCCCCAAGGCCTAGCAGGCCGGGACACTAGGCGGGGCAGGGCGCCGAGGGGCCCCGCCTGCTCCGTGCTCTGGGACTAACCCTGGCAGGAGCCCATGGCCACGGCAGATTTCCACAGAATGAGGCTTCACTTCACTTAAGCTCCTAGTCCCGGGCAACTACACACAGCTAATGGCCGCCGCCTCACTCCGCCTCCTCCTCGCCGCACCAACCTAGGAACTACAACTCCCAGGGAGACTTTTGGCGACAGCCACTGTCTCTGCCCTGGGGGGGCGGGGGCTCACGACGCACGGTACGGTGGGAGTTGTAGTTCAAGGGCGGCCTAAGGGTCATGCTTCGCGGCCGCCAGCAGCCCGCCTCTGACGCAGGGACTTCTGGGATGCGTAGTTTGTCTGTCTTTGGCAATGGCTAGGAAACTACAAGCCCCGTCAGGCACCGCGGCCTCGCGGAGACTGGTCCGAGAGCACGTCAGTACTAGAAGTCCTCCGGGAATCACCCTTTTAGGTCGATGAGCTACGTGTACGTGGTGTGCTTAGGACCTGCGTATGACGTCGGGAGAGAGGGAGGCTGGGAAGGTAGCGGAAAGGGGAAAGGAATTTAGAGGAAAAGTGGGCGTTCGCAAACCGATGGAGTTGGGGGGTGGGGGGAGGCTGGACGTTAGAATGAGGTAGCCCAAGGAGAGCCGGGGCTAGAGGACCTGTACGAAATTGAGCTGGAAGCCAGAAAGCAGCAAGCTCTACTAAAACTTCTGCTCGTCGACATATAAGTGACACAGGAGTGAGGAGGCCGTCTATCTCCCTTGCCAGGACCAGAGTGCACTTCCAGGAGCAGGCCACACCCCACTCCACCCCCTGCAACCAAGACAGACAAGGATGGTGCTGGTACCCAGGCTGCCGACATGGGGTCAGCCCTGTCCCAGCTCCCAGTATTAAGGGGTCAGCTATGCTTCAGTGCCCTTCACAGTTCTGAGGACTCCAGAATCCATCCTGAGCCGCCTGTGCCCTTCACCTGTCCCTCTGCAGTGCCCTCAGCACCCTTGTCTGTGTGCGCTGTCTGTTAGGCCTTGCTGAGGGCCCTTCATATCCACGTATTTGTTGGTGTCCTTACCCAACTTAATGCCTGCCCAAGATAGTTCTGCCCCAGATCTGCCCTGTCCGGATCTGCCCTGTCCACCTGTGATGCCCGGTTCTTTTATACACTTTGTCCCATCCTGTCCTGTGTTTCCTATACATATGAATTCACTTTTATGCGTTCACCACTGCTCTGCTCTGAGAAAGCAGAAAATTCTGAGCTCAGCCCATTAACAGGCTGTTGAAGAAGGAGATAGGAAGCTGAGGTGGGAAGCAGTGATGATGCCAACAATAGGGAGAGGCCTAAGCTTAAATCCTCCCGCAGAGGAGTCATGTGATTTCCCACCTCCCTGCCTCTCCTCCCTGCCTCTCGGCTACATTGATACGTGCTGCCTTCCTTGTGCAGCTACTTAGATCTATCTGCCCAGACCATCTCTGCACCTGTGCTCAGTAGAGCTGGACATGTAGCACAGTGGTAAAGCACTTGCCTTCCATGCCCAAGTTTGAGACCTAGAACCACCCCCACAAAATTGAACATGCATAAGGAAAAATTGAATGTGCACTGGAAAAGCATCACAAGAAATAATGAATGTCCAGATTCCAGCCAGCTAGCTTCTATTTAGTAAGTGTAGGGTGGAGTCCAGAAGTCCATTGATAACAAAGCAGGGACCATACTGAGAAACTAGACTATCAGGTCTGATTTTGCAGCTGATATACCTGCATAAGCCTGATTTTTAATACTGTACCTGCTTTGGAATCTAGATTCCCTAGATGATTTGGGGTAGTCACTCTTTTGCTGAGTCTCACCTTCATTTGAAAAATGGATATGAGTACTGGGAAGCCCTGTCCTACTTTTATGAGGACAACTTAATATAAATAAAAAGTTTTAGGACTACAGAGCCAGGTATAGTGGCACATGCCTGTAACCCCAGCACTCGGAAAGCTGAGGCAGGAGGATCACTGGGAGTTACATAGTTCCAAGCCAACCTGAAGTACATAAAGACACTGTCAAGGGGCCGGGGAGATGGCGCAGTAGAATAAGCACTTGCCTGGCAAGTGCAAGGACCTGAGTTCAATCCCCAGTTCTGAGAGGAAAAAAAGACACTGTCAAAAAAAATCAAGGGGCCGAGGAGATAGCTCAGTAGAATAAGCGCTACCCCGGCAAGCACAAGGGCCTGAATTCAATCCCCAGTTCCAAAAAAAAAAAAAAAAATCAAGCGCAGCCTGGGCAACTTAGTGGCTTAGGGAGATCTTGGTTTATTCAGACAGGGTCTTGGTGTAGAGTTCAGGCTGTCCCTGAACTCACTATGTAGATCAGGCTGGCCTTGAATTTGCGGTAATCTTTCTGCCTCTGCCTCCCAAGTGCTGAGATTACAGGCGTGCACCACAACACCAAGCCCTTGCCTAAAAAATTTTAAAAATGGCTGGGAAAGGGGCTGGTGAGATAGATCAGCAGGCAAAAGTGCCTGCTTAGGCAAGCACAAAGACTGTGGTTTGATCCCTGGCACCACATGCCACACCAGCCCCACCCCCAGGGTAGGCTGAGCGGCTCCCCCCACCGAAAAAAAAAAATGCCTGGGAATTTAGCTCAGTACAAAGGCCCTAGTGTTCAACCCCTAGCAACACACACAAAAGAAAGGAAGGAGAGAGAGAGAAGAGGTAAGAAGTCAGGGAGGGAATGAGGAAGAGAGGAAAGAAAGAAAGAAAGAAAGAAAGAAAGAAAGAAAGAAAGAAAGAAAGA